TAGAACCTGACTACATCACTTATTATGCAACAACATAAAAACTATTATGGTTTATAGAAATACACTTTAACAAATTTAACACTCACTCTTAAAGTGATTTTTTAGAAATGAGACCATGCATATATAATCATCTCCATCATTTACCAAAGTTGAAAATCCAGCCATTTGGCAGGCCAAAGATTATTATGAAGTACTAAGATTCTCAAACTTTACTAAGGATGGCTACCTAGCCCACCCTTGAATAGAAATAGCATAGGGAACGTACTCCCTCTTTAAATTACGAATATTCATTCGTGCTTCCGAAATGGGTTCCTCCGGATCAAGAAGCGAAATTTCCAAACAAAGATTATTGATCTTCGAGAATAATTGGGAAATAGAAATATCACCTCGAGTTGAGTTAGCCAACTCATTCTCCAACAATTGCAATCAAGCCACGCCTTTCTTATTGAATACCCCATCAAGAGCAATCCAAATATCACAAGCCGATTTGCAGTTCACAATATGATCAAATAGATTATGAGAAATAGATTTGTTCAAGATGGAATTAGCCTTTGCATTTGTTACCCTCCATTTTTTGATTGCGTCGATATTTTTTGATGTATGAGCATCTTTATCATTTCCACCGACAACTTCCCATAAGTCTTCACCGACAAGGTAAGACTCCATACATGACCTCCATATCATGTAGTTTGATTGGTTGCGCAACTCAATGCTTAAACCATTCATCATTCCACTTGAATTCATCTTAAGAATAAATTAATATTTTTTATCAAGAGAGTCAAGACAATATCACTGCCACCCTTGTGGCTCTGATACCATTTAGAGAAAGACGAATTCCACAATACCGAAACAATCCGCTTCTCAATTAGTGTGACAACGCCACACTAGCTCAATACTCACAAGCAAATAGAAAAAAGAAGAAGAACCAAGATGAAATGGAGGAAAAACTTCATTAAAAAAAAACATGGAGTACACAAAGGCATTACAATCTCAACAATCAAGATTAACCTTAACACATATGACCCAATGTTCCTACCACAAACCTATTTTTTAAATAGAGGTTTTTACAACTATATTTCCTACAATAACTAAACACTTACAACTATAACTACTAATATACAACAATAACTACTAACCATTTAGTAGTTTCATAATTTCTTATTACACAAACTTACACGTACAATCTCACTACATCACTCATAACAAAATAAAATAAAAACTATTATGGTTTCTAAAAAATACACTTTAACAAATTTAACATTGCCTACCATTGCCCTTGGGCTATGGTGACCCAATTCAAGCCTCACTCGGGCCATATTTTGTGGCCTAATCCTAGTTTTCCAGTGAAGGGTTGGCTAGGCCAAGCCAAGCCTCCTAGCCCATTGCCAGCCCAACACGAGTCACGAGTCTAACCAATTGGATTGTCTTATCCATACCAGGATAAAGCACAAAGCATCTAACTCTCTTAAAAATCAGTGTCATTCAACCTAGCATCCTTCGCGTCTGTCATAAAGAAGCAAATGTGCATTTATTGGATAATGGGCAGTGTACAGTAGAAACCAGTTGTTACAAGTGCTGTTCATTTTTTTTTCTTCTTTTCCTCGACTAACAATCTTGTTTCCGTTTATCGGAAATTGATTTTAAAGTATATACTTTTATTCAGTTGTTCAAAAAATCCAAAACTGGTACTCAACATGTGGAAAAAGAAACACAAGTTTTATCGATCACATGTGTGAGTTCCTGTCGTGGTTACCTTTTTCACAAAAATTGTCTACAAAAGCGAATTTTGTCGAACATCTATCTTACGTATTGACTACTGTATTGACATTATTTGGATTGCCTTCTGTCGATAGCCAAAAGTTTGTTGTTAAACGTGCCGTATATTTGTTTCCTTGGGTAATTTTCAAGCTTGGGCTAGTTTTTGGAGCTCAATTTTTTGGAGATGTGATGTCTAGAACATAATGATAGAGCCGAATGGCAGACCATGATCGTGTAGCTGACTCTAAAAAATTAGAAAAAGGCTATGATGATGACAATAACGAAGGTCTAGAACCTAGCGACCAAACTAAATATCAAATGAATAAATCTTTATCTTTAAAGTGCCTCAATAATGTCCCAAGATTAGTAAGAAATTGTCCAATTTGCGGAGAGCGAGATCGATGTGTTGGGGGAGCTCAAACTCCTTTTTTTTTTAATTAAAATAATAATAGGGTGGTATTTAGGCTGCTCCTGAAAATCTAGATAAAAGAAATCCTCCCATGTAGCTCTCTTTCCCGAGTGAGAATAATTGATCATTAGGACTGGACGATTTTTGCTTTATTTAGCATGCATGAGCCATATTGGACTTTCATGAATCCCCAGGTATGGAGACTCGATCTACAAGTATGTGGAGATGTAACAATCAACATCATCATTATTTTAGTTTTTTTTTCAATTAATTGGGTTTGGCTACAAAAATCATGGTTTACTCAAAAATAAATAAATAAATGTCGCATGTTCATGTATGCCCCAACGGAACTAATTTCGACTAAGAAATAATTAAATAAAAAATATTGTATATAGCAAGAATTACCTTTCATGCACAAAACACGAAGTTGGATGTAAAAATAGACAGCTAGAACATATCGTTCCTCGGCATAATGACCGAGGAAAGCTTTTTGGTCTTTAAGCATTGGTAATGGTACTTCCCCAATCTCTTAAATTCACAAGCTTTATTATACCAGATGTAAATGGTGTTATCGTATACTTTCTCGAAATAAAAAGCATATTATTTTGTGCACACATATTAGTTTTCTTTATGCTTGACGCCTATCGGAGATGACAACACCTGGGTAATGATCATATATGTTTTTCTAACTGCAAATCCAAGGGAAGTATACGCACACCACATGTATGAAACGTTGCAGAAAACATTTGTATAGCCATGTTGCTTAGATATGATATGAATGTTTATACAGGCACCGTACGTACGGAGCATCACATCAAACATTTGTTTGAGAGCTTGTTACTCTAGCTTAGAAATTTAGAACGACAAAACATGTCTATATATTCATTAGTTTATGAAAATATATGTAGTGAAACAATTTGTTTTTGATACAAGAAGGTTACAATTATTATCGACACGTAGGTTTGAATTTGGGTGATTGAGGATATATCTTTGTTTAAAAACAAAGTTCAAAATGCACAGAGTGTTGAGACACACTTTCATCTATTCGAATTTTATATCCAATACCTAAAAGCAATTGTGACCTCATTGTATCCAAAATAAATGGTTTCATAATATACAATCATTTATTTTATAATTGATAGTGAATCGACAACATCCTCGTACTTATATCCAACACTTCGGGTGGGAGACACAATGTGACATTGTTAAACCCAAATGAAGCACTGATCTTTTATCTCCAAAATCAAATGAAGCCTTGATCTTCAATGTGAATTATAAATTGAAGATTTTACCTTATACTATTGACATAAATATGACGTACTACACATTATGCACCGTGGATGCATGTACGATACTTACGACACGTTCGATAACAAAGACTTTCAGCTTTAGAAGTCTGAAATTCCAAATTAGTGTGACAATTAAAGTATTACAAAAAATTGGCTCTAAAAGATTTCGGGTTCTATGAAACGAAATTAGGAACCTCCAACATCAAATGGAAGTTTGCTCATCCGTCTTTTTTAGTACATTTGTCTCTCGCATGTCCCCTATTATCTTCCATCTCTCTCTCATTCTGCAATCCTAGCCTCTCCCTTTTCTCACCGTTTGTCATCGCCACCGCCATCACCCTCTCATCTCTCTACTCACCATTGATTTCCTCTCTCTCCATCTCCTGCATGAATATTGCCATTCTCTCTTGACCTCATTCTTCTCTCTTTTCAAGCTCTCTCCCGGCAACGGAAGCCGCTACATTATCTTTTATCTCTCCCCACCATCGCCCTCTCTTCCCTCATCCCAAACCAAATACGCCGACTCTCTATTATCGAGCGTTGTCCTCTCTATCTATGAAGCTGTAAATCTTGATCTTTATGAAGCTTTATCAGATTAGTGAAGCTGTACATCCTGATATTTATGAAGTTTTATTAGATCAATGTAAAGTACGATATATGCATTCAGGAAATTTCAACTTCCAAACATTTCTCACGCAAGCATTTTAGAACTTTCAAATACCAAAATCTGAACTTTAGGTTGGGCACTGATTTTATGCAACGGTTGCACAGCAATATAATGCAACAACCTTCAAAAACCATATTTAGGTACTTTGTTTGATTCAAATTTTAAAATATACACTCTTTTCATTCTAATGAACAATCACAAAAAAGAAAAAATTAAAAAACGCAACTTCGAATGTATGTTTTTAGCCCAATTAACATAGATCGTCTATTTTGATAAGATGCTTAGATCGATGCCTTAGAAAGATTTTTTTATTTCTAAATTTTTTAAATGGCTTTATTATCATTAGATGAATAATATTAAAAAAAAATGTAATGATTTAAATTTGTAAAAGCTAAGATCTTGAAATTCACTAAATGAATGGTCTAAATTCGTTGTTAGAGGGATCTCATTTCGACCAAATCTAGAGTTCAAATCAAACTTTTTTTTTGGGATTGATTATTGAGATGAAGAGAGTATGTGTACAAAATTTTGAGTCACACAAATACCACAAACATGGTTTTCTGAAAGTGTGGTTGAATTTTACCAGGTAGATATCCGGTCTTAGTTTTGAACGATGGACGATGGAGATTAGCATTATCAGAAGAATGCCCATAGTTAAAAACTATGATTATCCACCATCATTCATACGGAACTGGCGGTGGATTTCCCCATGTATCATACACTATAAACCTGCGGAATATGGTACACTCCCCCATAGACCATAGTAGAACATACTCAACATGACTCTTTCGTCATTCAGAAAAAGCTGCGGCCTCGTATAGATATTTAAAGTAAAAGTTTGGGCCTTTTCGGTCATTTTTCCAGTACTAAATATCTACTTGCGAGACAGAACTCTAGGGTTTTTACTTCTTCACCCAAAAACCAGAGGTCCCGAGTTGTGTTGCAGAGAAGCCATGGTGAGCGGCATGGTTTATCTCTCCTCAAAACGTCCTAACTATCTCTCTAGCTCGACATAGTTCTCTTTCTCTCTATATCATTTTCCCTACTCGTGACCTTTTCTGCAACTCTTATATTTCAATCCTCCATTAATATTGCTCCATGCTTCTATGTTACACTAGGTATTTGAATTTTACCAGGTATTTATTTCGATATTTTTGTTGGATTTCTTAGGCTTCAGAGAAGAAGCTCACAAACCCAATGAGGGAGATCAAGGTCCAGAAGTTGGTACTGAACATTTCTGTTGGAGAGAGCGGAGATAGACTCACCAGGGCCGCTAAAGTAATCTCACTTTTCTGTACTTTATTTCTTTTGTTCTCTAGTAAATATTATGAGCTGTACTTTCGTAGTTTAGTATTTTATATGGATCTTGTAGTGTTCGGAAACTCAAATTTCATTGACATTGTTTGGTAAATAAACAAAAAAAAAAAGAAGTGTGCATTTATTCATTGAATCACTATTTGCTTGTAAATTATTCTGTAATATGGATCTGTTATTTATTGGCAATATGGGTTGACGAGAATTTTTGAAAATGATCATGGTCTTGATTTATATCTTTTGGAGTAGTGATTTGTTTCTTGTGCATGATAAAGTCTAGAAAAATGATAAATCATAGAAAATAGTTTGACAACAGAAAAAAAGATCGGGCTATTCTTCTTTGCATTGATTATGTTTTAAATGTGTCTTATATGATTTCACAATTGACATTTTCTAACATGTTGTATAAGATTGACATCTTTGTCTTGACTAGCAATTTTATTTCAGTTTGTTTTACCCATTTCCCCCCCAAAATAAAGGTTTTTTTTTCCTTATATGCTTTTTAACCAATCACTGTGTTTTTAGTATGTGCATGAAGTGTCTCGTTATATTGTGCATGAGGTGGGTGTTGTAACATTGTCTGAAATCAAGGTTGAAATGCAAAAGGATTATATAGTCATTTTAATATGGTAATTTTATGGTTTCAATCATTGGCCACAGTTATATCGGAAGCTCTATTTTAACTGCTCTGTTGAGTTGTTTTGTTTCATTAAGTTTTCAATCTTCAATAATTTAGTTGTTTTGCTCTCTTCTGCTATATGGGTTCTTGTTAGCATGGAATTTTCATTTCTAAGAACATATTCTCTCCTTTGGTGGGCTGCATGAGCTTAAGATCCTAGCAATAAATTAGATTAAGAGGTGGTTTATATGCTAGTAATATCAGTTCAATGCTTTTACCATTTATTTACAATGCAGAGTTTTTCAGATAGAAATTAATTGTTTACTGGATTGTATGACCTCATTTAGCTCATGTACTGCAAACTTCATCTTCACTGAAGCTGGCCTCATATGAGGCTGATGATCTTATTATATAAAGGAATGGGGAGACACAATGAGGGCCTATTGTTTGAGCACATCTGGATTTTTGCAGGAGAAAGAATCCCAATGGTTGACAAGTTGTGGTGCCTCGTCATTAGCCCCTTCTTTGTCATGATTTGATTGGTTTTTTCTCACTATTTTGATTGAACTATGAGAGAAGAACATCTTCATGGGAATTTATTGAACTGTGCTCTGATCCTTTTAACAATTTTTAGTTCTGGTCCATTTTGTCATGAAAATGAATCTCTTTTGGATAAGAGAATATGCTTTTTTTCAATCTATGTAAAATATAGGGCATAAAAAGGACTATGTTTCTCTAGAAAGCAACCCCTTTTATATAGTTTGGCAGGGGGGGACTATGCTCAATAACCATGTGAACCATGGAACTTAAAAAAAAAAGTGATGTAAACCACCAATTAAATAGACAGAATAGTTTCTACATGTCCTTACACTGCTTTATTTCCTTTCCTAAGGGTGTGGCCCTAGAAAGAATCAGAAAATGGGGGAAATGAAGGGTTTTCTCTTAAAACGGGCGTGGGACCCCAATTCCTTGATTCCTCGTAGTGATGGGACATGTTTGCTAGAGAGAAAATGTGGCGTGTGAGGCCCAATGGATAAAAAAAATGTAAGGGGAGTGTAGTAGTTAATAGAGCGGTTCTCTTGAGCCCAAAATTGCCCGCTCTTGACAATATCGTGGTGGGGTCTGCCAGCAAACCACTTTAGAGACTGGAGATAGCCTTTGTTGTTAAGATCTTATTCTTTGGTAACCCCAATTCCTTGATTCGTCGTAGTGGGGCATGGGACATGTTTGCTAGAGAGAAAATGTGGCGTGTGAGGCCCAATGGATAAAAAAAATGTAAGAGGAGTGTAGTAGTTAATAGAGCGGTTCTCTTGAGCCCAAAATTGCCCGCTCTTGACAATATCGTGGTGGGGTCTGCCAGCAAACCACTTTAGAGACTGGAGATAGCCTTTGTTGTTAAGATCTTATTCTTTGGTAACAGATTTTGTTGGGGCCTTGTTTTGCGTGGTGCAATGTATCACCTAGGTGGTCAACGATAATCTTCTTCTTTCTAGAATTCCCTTGGGAAAGGATTCATAGATTCCAAAGCAATCACCCTTCCTACCGATCTACCATTGGATTTTTGGGTGGGGAGGGGTGAGGCACAGATTGTCCAAGTAGATTGGTCACCCAATTTAAAAATGATACTTATAAAATAGGGAAAATATCCTCTTATCCCCTATTTTCAACTTCTATATCTCATGAGATCCAAGAATTGAAAATATTATTTGTAAGCAAAATGTCTCAATCTTTTCCATCTTACAACCCCTTAAACTCATTTGACCATGTATTATTGACCTCAACAACTTATGAAATGACTCCCGTCCCTCAAAACCTAACCTCCATCTGACCCGTTAACCTACGCCCTCTCTCTCTCTCTCTCTCTCTACCTAAACCCGTTAACCTACACTCCTCCTATTTATCTCTCTA